TAGCTCTCCAAGTGCTCCGTTGGGATACGAACCTACAGTGTTTTAGGACAAGTGAGAAGTTAATTTCGTGGTTTTATTTGGTAAAGAAAAAAATATCTTTTTATTAATTTATTTTTACAAAACGATTACAATGTCTTGTATTGATGTGAAAATATATTTGAGTTATATTACTATACGGAAAATTGATATCAAAAAACGAAAATTTGATAACGGTAATAATGACTAATCTTTCATTGTCATAAAACACATATACGCATATCAATTTGATATTCTATAGACTAGTACTATGTACTTATCTGACTCTTATAAACAAATCTAATCTTTAAACCATGCAGCCTGAGTAGCAGTCTGCGAACCCCAAGATGAGAGCAGCAGCCTTAGTGTTGTGTCTGGTGGCCGTCACAGCTCCCCTGGCCAGCGCTACGTTCGGTCTGCTGAAGGCCGGTACCGCCGCGGCAGGCCTTCCCCTCGCCCTTCCTGCTGCCACTCTGGGAGGAGGCTTGGCTGCTGTCAAGGTAAGTCCCGTGTGCCTCTTTAAGTGTGATTCCGAGCGACTGTTCTGTATTGCTAAAAACGCAAAAAAAAAAAAAAAAAAAAAAATAGTCATGAATAGAGCGAAAAAAATAATGATAATAACGATGATATTAATAGAAATAAATAAATGAAAAGAGAAACGTAGTAGTAAGAATAGCTTCATTTGTTTAAAGAACATACAGTCTCCCAAAGGAAATAGTTCTTATCCTTCCAAAAGGCCGGTTTTTTATATTTTCAAACCGACTCAACTCTCCATGGCTTAGGTCCTGAAGCTGCTCGGCCTGAAGAAGCTGAAGAAGAAGTTCGGAGGACTCGGAGGAGGATACGGCGGCGAAGGACTCAACTTCGGCGACTCCTTCGGCAAGCTGCCTCTGCCCAGCTTCGCCCCGACGCCCTTCCACGGGGGGCCGCCGCCCTTCTACATCGTGCCCGGATCCTACTTCGACGGCGGCAGGAAGAAGCGCGACGTGCAGCAGGTAGGTAGCCTTGTGGCTTTGCTGTTCCTTTTCTTTTATTTTCTTTCTATTTTGCGTATTCTCTCTCTCTCTCTCTCTCTTCCTTCTCCTCATCATCTTCCGCTCTTTTCGTACATCATTTATCCATTTTTTCTGTTTGTCCACCCATGCATGTACCATATACATAACATAGATTTTAAAATCCAGTCTGCGTCCAATACAAAGATTTTTACTAATAATTGATCCATGTAGGAGTGATGCTGACAAAACTTGCCATCATACGGTCACAGTCATGATACTGATAAAACTTAGACCTTCCCATTCTTCATCCAGTGGCATTGACGATAAAAACTTGATGATTAAATCCCTTAAACACACGCATTTCCAATCGAATATCATGATAAAATCCAGCGATTAAAACTAAAATCCGGATGTTTTCTTCCCAGGCTTCGAGCTTTGACGTCACGGAGGTCAAGCCGGCGACCCTCACTGTCCAGGAGGACGACTACTTCTCCTTCGTCTTCGAGGCGGACCGCGACGGCTGCGTCCAGAAGCTCGTGTGCGGACTCTCGGGCAACGCTCCCGAACAGCTCTCTGAAGACGGAGAGGTTATCATGTCGCTCTTCAGGTAGGTGGACGTTGGATTATATATTTTCGTCTTTGATACACGTATGCACTGATGGATCGACTTGTTTTTAATTTTTGAAGCATCAAACGCATGTTCTTCTTTTCTAAAACACTCAGTCAAACCCGAAAAAAATGTTTATATTTCCATTTATTTATACACATACACAGTATCTACTTAGTATCTAAGTCTATAGTTTTACTTATTCATCTACCTATATACCATTTATCTATTTACCTATCTACTGAACTGTTCAATATGCCTTTCGAGTCGTGGCGACCTAGTGACCACCACCCCACGACCCCCTATCAAGTCGAAATCCTTTCCTGAAGCACCTTCCCTTAAGCCGCCCCTCACCTGCAGCCCTTCCCTTGACAGAAGCGAGTCCGCCCCGGCCTACACGACCCTGGGGAACCCCAAGGGCCCCTTCGACTACGCAGCGTGGATCGGCAGGACCTCTCAGAGCCCGGACTTCACCTGCTCGCAAGTCTACGACCAGTGTGACATGTCGCCCCAGCAGCTCATGGAACGCTTCGAAGCCAGTGAAGCCCTTGGGACCGCCGAGGCTCTGGGGGCCGCTGGAGCTCTTGAAGCCAGCCAATAGGAGAGCTTGGTGAGGAGACAGAGGCTCCTGAAAAACCTGAAGCTAGCGGAGTATTAGAAGAAATGAGGGGTATAGAAGAATGAAGATTTTATTTGATTTATGTTGTATATGTTGATAATGCATCTTCTTGTGCTGTCGAAATTTAGCTCTATGTGGCCGGCATGGACAGCCCAGTATTCAATGCAGAATTTATGCCTGTAATTACGTGTGTATCTATTTCTTCAAACTTTATGATTATTTACTGGATATAAATTGATTAAGTCTTCCGTGAGACTTAATTACAATTTATATCGGATAGTTCGGAAAAGGTTCCTATTACCCTAAGGGCTTTATTCATTTTATCCGGATGCTGAGAATATCCAATGGGTAAATCTATACCTGTAATTGCTCACCTGTCAAATCCAATGTTTAATTTGTGTTTAATGTTCTGTTTGACTAACATAAGGACCCTTGTTTAGTGTACTTTTACCGTTGTAACTTTTTTATTATTCAAGAAAAAGATCAGTATGGTTTATCGCTTTATCATTTCGTTCCCTATTATGCTAGTGAGTTCTAAGATTCTCTCTTCTCTTCTCCTCCTTCAGCTTTTTCTCCTCCACTTCTTCCTCCTCTTCCTCTATTTCATCCTCCTCCTTGTCGTCGCCATCATCGTCGTCGACGTCGTCCTCCTCCTCTTCCTCCTTCGGTTTCTCCTCCTCAACCATTTCCCCTCCTCCTCCTACTCCTCCTTCTTCTCTTTGTTCTCCTTCTCTCCTCTTCTCCTTCTCTTTCTATTCCTCTCCTCCTTCCCTCCACCTCCTTCTTCTCTCCACCTCCTCCCCTTCACTCCTCTTCCTTCTCCTTGTCCTCGCCTCCTCCTCTTCCACCTCTTCCTCATTCTCCTCTTCCTCCTCCTTCTCCTCGTCCACCTCCTACCCTCCTTCTCCTCCACCTCCTACCTCCTTCTCCTCCACCTCTTCTTCAGTCTCCTACTGCTCCTCTTCCTTCTCTTGCTCCTCCTTCTATTCCTCCACTTCCTCCTCTCCCTCCTCCTTCTTCTTTGTCTCATCCACCTCCTCCTTCTACTTCTCCCCCTTCTCTCCCTCACTCTCTCTCTCTATATATATATTGACACAGTATAACTATAGATATACAATATAACTGTGATTAGCAGTAATATGTATAATATATACATATATATATATAACAAGGCCAACATAACCTTATAATCTGTTCAACAATATCAAGCCTATTCATCTGTTAACCCGGGAATGTGTCATACCTTTGTTAAATTTTCTCAGACCAAATCCGTCAGATACAGACACATAAACTTTCACACATACAAACACACAAATATATATATATATATATATATATATATATATATATATATATATATTATATATATATATATATATATATATTATATAACTACAGCAATGTACATAAAGACAGTTAATGAAAATACAGAAAGAATTATAAACCTATACATACCAACATAAACACGCAGGCATAAACCTACATGCAGTACGCGCACGTATACCCATACCCTCTCACTAACTCCCCCCCCCCCCCACACACACACACACACAAACGCACCAAACACACACACAACACACACACACACAACCCCACCCCCACACACGCACACACATTAAAAAATCACGTCTATCTCGTAGAAAGTGGGCGGAGCATCTGTGTATAGAAAACGCCATCCCGCCATCACTAAGCGAGCGACTGCAGTCATAGCTGTCACTTTGTGCTTTCATAATGACCTGCCTTGCGATAATTAAATTCTATAATTGGTATTATGACTCGCATTATTGGGGAAAAAAAGGATCGTGACTTATAAATTTAGAGTGTGCGTGAAGACTGTTTGACTCAAGGCAGCACGACCAGGGAAGGGGAAACGGAGAGAGAGAGAGAGAGAGAGAGAGAGAGAGAGAGAGAGAGAGAGAGAGAGAGACGACGAGAGAAGAAGAGAGAGAGAGAGAGAGCGAGAGAGAGAGAGAGAGAGCAGAGAGGGAGCAGGCGAGACGGGCGACGACGAGGGAGACACGACGCAGGAGAGAGAACGAGGCGCAGGCAGGACGGAGAGAAAGGGCGGCGGCCGCGCGGGAGAAGAAACCAGCCGGAAGAGAAAAGACAAACCCAGAGAGAGGAGAAGTGAGAGAGAGAGGAGAAGAGAGAGACGAGGAGAAACGAGCAGGAGCGGGGAAAGCAGAACGCAGCCACCGGAGAGAGAGAGACGAGAGAGAGAGACGAAAGAAGCAGAGACGAGACAGAACCAGAACGCGACACGACAGGAGAGACGAGACACGGTGAGCAGCACGACGAGAGAACAGTAGAGGACGCAGAGCAGAGAAAACTTATATTACTATATCATATATATCAAGAGAGCGTATACTATCTATATACTACTATAGTAGGGTTCCCCCATTACCAAACCGAGAGTAGCGTACATGCATAAGATACGGCTGCGGTCGTTCATATACTCAGAGGGGTGATAGTGATACTACTATCAGGAGGGTCAACTAAAGCTAATATACTACGCATATATATACATATAGGTTAGTACGCGTACACCACCATACCACACAACTGGGCCATCATGCATCCCCCAGGCAGAAGACGCGACTCCGAAACAGCAAACGCTCGTCCACGCGCATTACACCACAGCCGCACGCAACAGCACCGGAACCCCGGGCCAAAGCAGCAGAGGCTCCTCCTGGCCGCGCGGGCTGCCTGACTTTCCGACGCAGCTCGACGCGATCCCTCGCGGTCGCGCCCTCCCTCTACACGAAACCGGCCCGACTGCCGCATAAACAGCTCACCGGCTAGCCGGTCTTCCCTTTTCTCGCAATAGCGAACGGGTCGGACGGGGTGGCAGGCGGGGTGGGCGGGCTCGGATGGCGTGGCGAGCGGGTGGGGGCGTCGGAGGGCCGTCACTCGGCGCCTGGGAGGGCTAGCAGCGGGCTGGAGGGGTGGATAGGGACGGGGTCGGGCACACCCTGCGGCGCTGCGGCCAGGGTCAGAGGGCCGTGGACGTAGCGGCAGGGGGCTGGGACAATGGGTGCGCGAGGCGCAGAGGGCGCTGAGGGGCAGAGGGTCGGCACCGCGCGCGTCGGACGTAGCGCGCACGCGGCATGGGACAGCTGGGCCCTGGGCAGCCGCGGACGGGGTGGAGGGCAAGAGGGGTGGAGGGTGGAGTGACGGAGCGGGGTGGACCACTGGGGCTCGGGAGGCGGAGAAGGGGTGGAGGGCTAGAGGTGTGGCGGGCGTGGAGTAGGGCCGCGCAGCCGCGCGCGCCTCGCCCGCGCACCTCGCGGGCCTGGAGGGCAAGCCAGGGGTGCGAAAGGCGCCAAGCCAGCGGGCTCGCGGCCACCGGGCGACTGGCCGTAGGGCACGCCCGCGGTCCCCCACCCACCCCACTGGGGCTGGAGGCGGCAGAAGGGTGGGCTGGGCACGAAGGGGCCGCCTCCGCCGCCCCGACCGCCTCCGCCGCGACGCCGCGGCCGGGCCTTTTTTGACCCCTCGCCCCGCCCGCCTCGCGCGCCACCCGCCGCCCGCCCCACCGCCCCACCGCGGCGCTCCGCCGCCACGCGCGCCCTCGCCGACGCTCCACCGCCGCCGACGCCGGCGCGCCTCGCCGCGCCACACACCCCCCCTCCCCTCCCCCCCCCGCCCCCCGCCCCGCCCCGCGCCCTCCCCCCCCCCCCCCCGCCCCCCCCCCGCCCCCCCCCCCCCGCCCCCCCCCCCCCCCCCACCCCCCCCCCCCCCCCCCCCCGCGCCACCGCACCGCGCGCGCTCGCCCGCACGGCCCCGCACGCCACCGCCGCCGCGCTCGCGCACGCCCACCCGCCACGCGCCGCCGCACGCGCACCACCCCTCGGCCCCCTCGCACGGCCCCCGCACGCCCACCCACGCCGCCTCGCGACCGGCCCCCGCGCCCGCTCCGCCGCCCCACCGCCCGTCCCCCCACCCGCCGCCACCGCCGCCCGCCCCGCCCGCACCCACCCACCCTGGGGCTCGGGAGCAGAAGGGTGGAGGCGCGTGGAGTAGGGAGGGGTGGGCGACACTGGGGCTGGGAGGGGAGCGGGTGGAGTAGGAGCGCAGGTGGGACCAGCTGCGGGGCCTCGTGCTGGGAGCTGCCCCGCACCCCCCCACCCGCCCCCCCGGGGCGGCGTGCCCCCCGCCCGCGCCCGGTTGGAGAGGGAGGGGTGGACAAATGCTCCCAGGGGCCCCGCGGAGTCGTGTGCAGCCCGCTGCAGGGGGAGGAGGGGTGGACCCGGGGTGGGAGCTAAGGGGGAGGGAGGGGTGGGAGCCTGGGGGCTGCCCGGGACCGCCGGGCCCTCCGCGCAAGGGTGGAGGATGCCACCACCGACACCGGGCGTCGGAGGGGTGGCACACAGCCCTCCCACCCCAGGGTTTTTGAAGGGGTACGGATTTGAACCAAACCCGACCACCACAACACCAGACATAAAACACCCACCCTCGGGTACACCACCAGCCTGCACGGGGCCCGGTAAGCACCAGCAAGGAGCACCCACCACTGGAGAGGGGGGTAATGGGGTTAGGGGTCATGGGAGGTGTGTGGTTTAAAGTTTGATGTGATATTTTTTAATTCTCTTATTTCTTTTGTTTTGGGGTTATTATATTGATAATATTCCTTCTTTTACATGATTTTCGCTTATTTTTCCTTCCTTGTTTCCCCTCCTCACTTGCCTGTCTGTTATCTGTCCTTCTCTCTCTCCTCTCTCTCTAATTTACTTTCTCTCTGTTCTTCCTGCCGTTCTCTTCTTCCTTTCCCCCCTCATCTTCTTTAATACATTGTCGTGTCCTATGGCTGCCATCTCGTCCAACCGCGCTTTCTCCATCATCTTAAGTCCATTTAATCCATGATCAATGTGGCGCAACAGCAATAGGAACAACATTGAATTTAAATATCCAGTAAGCTCCCTGACTTCACATGTATCCTCATACCACGTGGTTTAATTGCCGACCACCGGCCACAAAGACTAGGTCCAAATAATCCGGTCCACATTGCCCCGCTAATGCGGAAATTATTTGTTTATGAACATTGTTCTCTGTGCTGTCCATATATCTAGTCTTGTATCAGACCTGATTTGTGCTTTTATTCATTGGTTAAGAAAGATGTGCTGGCCTTAACCTACCATAACTCGCAGGATGCTGAGGACAGGAGATATCGTTGGGTTGATGGGGTTCTGCTATGTCCTTTCTCTCTCCTCCCGCGGCGAGCGTCGCGCTCGTGCGGCACCGGTCACTATCGGGGCGGGGCGGGT